GCTTAAATCTTTCTTGGAGCACTAATTAAAAATGTCGGGAAGGCAATTTTAAATATAAGCTTGATCTCCTTCCCAACCCTAACCCTAACCCTAACGTTGAAATTACCTTTTTAATATTTTTAAGATATATCACGTGATGGACTACGCTTTAACCATTCTCCTATTTCGGTATGGTGTGGTAAAAAATAAAAATACCAAAATGCTTATCAAATCAAATTATTTATAAACTATCCACTGAATTCATACTGAACCCTAACCATTACTATACCATACCACCATACTTAATCCACAAATAGTGAAGAGCATAGATTGGATACTATCACGTGAAGAATCTTGGCTTTTCGGCAAATGAAAATTGGCTTTGGCGTCGTTGCCTCCTACACGTTCGAAAGATTGATGGAATGTATGTTAATATTGCCAAATGAACGAATCTTGGCACATTCCCGAGACTCTAGACTTTGACTGTCTACAAGAAATTTCACAAGATACCAGTGCAGAAATAAACTCGGACACAAACAATAACGTTAGCATCAAGAAGGAAAAAAGGAACAACAATGAAACTATCGAAAATGTAGAACAAACTTTAACCAAAACATTAGAAGTGGAGAGTGAACCACGTCCTTCCACGAAATACTCTCTAAAACAACGTCATACGGAAGATGTTTCAAACTTGAAAAGCTCTTTGGATAATGATAAAAATAATGGTTGCAGTAGTACTAGTGGCATTTCAAAAAAAGGGTTTAGTGTTACGAATAATATCAAAGAAAATACGTTTGCTAGTGAGACTTCACCTTCCTCTTCTATAGGGGAGGGTAGCAGTAGTCAGAAAGATCCGTGTGGGCCTAGAATTAATAATGATGACAATATTTATTCAAATATCAAGCATAGCAATGCTACTACCAGTAATGTCTCTTCGGAATATGAATGTAACATTTGGTGAGAAACTATTCTGTCAAGAAAAAAGTAATTCCTCGATTCATATATTTAACCAAGTCATTCATGATTTATTAGCTTTGATACTGCCTCTTCTCCTGTTCTGACTTTATGTGGACACTTATTTTGGTAAATTGAAGTTTACATGTAGCATATTTCTATTTTATGAAAAATTATTGATTTCTGAATTTTATCTATTCGCACAATTTCAATATTATAGTTGGCCATGTCTCCATCAGGTAAGATTCGGAAAAAGTTGCTAATTACGAATCTAAAATGATAATTATAATATTTATTTTACTATCTATTTTTTTTTAACAGTGGCTGGAAGTTCAATCACAGAACCCGTTATGTCCTGTCTGCAAAGCAGGATGTGGTAAGGATAAAGTAATTCCTATATATGGACGAGGGAAAGAAGCTAAAGATCCGAGGTAAATAAAAATTCATATTTCATAAATTATCAATTCTCAAAAAAAAAAAAAAAAACCAAACTAACGAATTGCTATTCCTAACATTAATACAGAATGCATTCAAGTATTCCAAATCGACCAGCCGGTCAAAGACCTCAACCACGGCGAGATCCAAGTTCAACAGGGTCGCCATTTTTCCCCGGGTCACATTCCACTACAGCATTCAATCCACATTTCTCGGTTACTGGTGTTAGTCTCTTTCCCTCATTTTTTGGTCCCGAATTTGTAAGTTTATTTCTACTAATTACCGTCTTATCGCAATAAAAATTATTAACTAATGTTATTTAATATGATCTTTGACGACAATGAAGACTTTTCTTCCAGCTTCAGCGCCCGGACTGGCAACACCAGTCGACAATTCCCCACAACAAACAGTCTTATCTCGATTATTTTTAATTTTTGGTTGTTTAGTTATTATAGCGGCTATTTTTCTTTGATATTTATTTTTTCATTTTCTTTATCGATTATTATTATTATTATTATTATTAGACTGTATTCTTGTAAATGATTTTTCGAAAAAAAACATTGAAAACAAATTGTAAAAAATGTAACATAATATTCACATATTTCACGTTTTGTATATCATTTACAGTATGATTTATTATTTTAGGGTGGTGCGTACTTACGATGGACTTACATTTCTGTATACTTACATTAGATATATAATTGAGACACCTTCCTCGACCTTTTCAATGACTTAATAATATTTATGTAGCTAGTAATTGTTTAAACACAATATTCTCCAATAATAAAATGTAAATTCATCCAAAGAATACAACAAATAAAACAATTAAATATAATTTTGCATAATTCTAATTGTCATTATTATCGATGATGATTCAATACTAAAAACTTTATTAAACCCGGCAAACACACATAATTCACAAATTCGATTAAAACACGAGAGCAGCTCCCTTTGTCTATTATTCAAAACGCAGAAAAAAAATAAATTGCTTAATTGTTAATAATATATATTAAGAGAATTTGAAGATAAATTTATTAGATTACAAACCTTCTTATCACCACCAAGTTCAAAATGTTTGCATCGTTTTAACGCTATCTGATGCTTATATTTACAGCTCTGACATTCTAAACGAAGGACAATCTTTTTGGTAGTCTTGGCTATTAATTAACAAAAAATGATCCTCAATAAAATATTCATCAGACTATAATTTACGTATATAAAGATTAAAAGAATCTCTTGTACCTTTTTTGTGAAAGACCGGCTTAGTTTGACCACCATAACCAGATTGTTTACGGTCATAACGTCTTTTTCCTATTTAATAAAATATCGATGTCAATTTATAAAAAAATTTTATTTTTTAAAAGCCAATAAAGTTTATTATATAGAACCTTGAGCATAAAGAGAATCTTTTCCCTTCTTGTATTGAGAGACCTTATGGGGAGTGTGCTTTTTGCAATTTTTCCCCTTACAATAGGTATTTCTGGTTTTCGGAACGTTGACCTTTTTCCATTATTCAAAATTTAGCATATGAAAAAAATAGATCAAAAACCAATAATGCCACATCTTCTTTTCAAGAACTATACAGAAATATAACTACCATTTTTCGAAATGACCACCAAAGAATATGAAAAAAAAACAAAACTTTTTTACTCTTTATCCAAACTTTTCTAGACCAATCAAATATGTCGCAAATACGCTCACATGAGAACATTAGATTATCATTTCTATATTCTTTTTTCTTCCAGTAATAAAAGTAAGCACATATATTGGTTTCCTACCAATCAAGCTTAAATCAGAACATATTTGTTACAAGTAGAAGGCAACGACGAAATTATGAGACTTGAGTTTATTTTAACATGTATATATGATTTTCTAATTATTATTTTAACATACAGTCACATGCTGTATAATCACACCTCTCTAAAATCACTCTTTTATATTTACTAAAACATATTCATTTAAGTTTTTGATAAACTTAAATTTGACTTTAATTTATTATTCGTGAACAATATCCATTTTCTCATTCAGAAAAAAAATTAAAATAAGCCCCTTGGCGGATTCGAACCACCGATCTTCGCTTTACGAGAGCGACGCCTTGCCACTGGGCCAAAGAGGCGATAGCATTAATTCAAAATTTGACATGTTAAATACATAATTTATAACTTGAAAAACACGATTTAACCAGGTCGATCGTGATCTAGTTCCAATCATGTCTTCGAAAAATCTCATTTCTACAAGCTTAAAAGAACAAAGTGAATATGCGAAATCAGTATTTCGCGATAACTTGAAAGGTCTAGACGCTGTACGTTGTTGTTGCTGTTAGCCTTTGTGATCATGTTCTATCAGTTGAAGAAAATAACAGGTTCACTAAAAATAATTGACCGTTTCCGGAAAAATGAACTAGTTTGCTAGACATAAAAAGTTCATTAATGACTATGTAAGATTCTACGGCGGAAAACGTAGAGAAGCTACAACACTCGATTCCACCGAAACGAAGACAGAGTTTGATATTTTAAAAGAGAACCACAAGTATGTAAATGTAAAGCTCTGATTTTTAAATTTCTCAGTTGGATTTAATGTTGAATTTTATAGATTTCTTCGATCGGAAGCTGAAGATGAACAAGAATTAACATGGGAACAACGCGTCGCGAAAAAGTATTATGACAAGTTGTTTAAAGAATATTGTATTGTCGAATTGAAATATTATAAAGAAGGAAAAGTAAGTGGAACCATTTTATTTATTTATTTTTGGTGCTTATTTAGAGTAAAATTAATCAAAATTATCGAATATTTCATTAATCGATTAATTATTATTAGATTGCTCTACGGTGGCGGATTGAGAAAGAACTAATGTCTGGTAAAGGTAAGTAAGTAGCATGTTATCAAAATTATCCATTTATTTAAAGAAATCCTCTTCTCTAATCTTTCTTTGTCAATATTTTCGCATAGGTCAATTTGAATGCGCGTCAACACGTTGTTCGGAAAAAAGTGGTTTGAAATCATGGGAGGTTAATTTCGCGTATATGGAAGATGGAGAAAAAAAAAACGCATTAGTTAAAATTCGGTTATGTCCAAACTGTTCCGAAAAACTCAACTACAGGAACAAGTATAAAGCGTCATCCAAAGTGACACGAGAGCCAATGATTAAAGAAGAGGAGGATGCGCAGAAGGAAGAAAGGAAAAAGACTAAACGCGATAAAAAGCATCGTAAAAGACATTATTCGGAGAGTGAAGAAGAGAGTAGTAGCGATGAAAATGAATCGCAAGATGAACAAAATGGTTCATCAAGAAAAAAACTCAAATTGGGTAAATGTTTGTTTTGTATTTATTCATATATTATTATCGATTCTAGTTATTAAATACATAATTTATTTTCGCATAGAAGGGAAAAGAAGTCGCAAAGAAATTCATCATAAACGTGACAAGAGCCATTCACAAAAGAGTGGCACAAGTGTGCAAAAGAGATCATCATCTTCTTCTTCTCATGATAAAAGTTCTGAAGATGATGAATTTTTCGCTGGATTGTTTAATTAATTTTTTGCCATTGTCTGTCAAATCTGGTTAAAGTACTCGCATGCATGCAAATTACAGATAATGTTTGCCCAATAGCGTCTTGTAAATTTCGCATTTTGAAATTATAATGCATCATTAAATAAGTCAAGCTAACTTATTTTGTTTATATTGATGGTTTTGTAATACTTTTCGCGCACACTTTCTGACGTCGCGTTTGTGCAATTAGTCTTCTCGCATTGATTCTGTAGTTAATTCATTTTTACCCAAAAAAAAAAGAATTTCAACAGTTTAAAGAAACGAACAAGGGTCCTTTACAGATCCGCATTGCGTGTTCGACAACCAGCTGACGCCAGTTTACAAAAATGAGTCACCGACACCTTGATCAGAACAAAGTCATAGATTTCAAGCGATACTACACCTATGGGTTTCTTATTAACCTTTTACCAATTTACATTTTCTATCCCGTGCGAACCGGTAAAACTCTTCAACAAGCCAATATTGGTACTGGTTCGTCCACTTCACTTGTGTCTGTTATTACAGAACGTGTACGAACTGAAGGAATACGTGGCCTGTACAAAGGGATGAGCGTGTATGCTCTTGGTAGTATCTCTGGACGTTTAGTACACTTTGCCACTTATGACGCATTACGAGAACGTGTTTACAAGGGACAAGGAAATAGTGTTGGGCTTGGTTGGCTGGAGGGACGAGATCCTGCTACTATTAATGGAACATTAGGCACAATAGCCGCTGTGACCACATCAAGTTTCATGGTACCGTTTGATGTAATTACGCAGCAATTACAAATCTCAAAAAAAGAAGTTACGAACACTCATAATGTAAATATACCATTAGCAGAAAACACATTACCGAAACGCAAGATTCATACTACTAATCATCTAATACAACCCACATTTAACAGCATTGCGTTAACAACATCATCGTCTACAACAACACACGAGACAAAACCTCCAAGTTCACATTTATCATCAAAAACTCCATTAGAAGCTCAACCACCTGGAGTCACAGCAGCGGCATCCCTTAATCCTTCATCCAAAAATTTCATTACGCGTCTAAAGCCACACGATGTGTCATTGTACCGGTTTCTGTATCGCGGTTGGTCAGCTGGAATCCTACACACAATTTCCTTTTTCCCTGCCTATTTCTATACATACACATTTGTATTGGAACATTATCAACGACATCTCAATCACTTCACTTTCCTTCCCTCACCATACTTCTTCTTTTCGGTGACTTCTGGAATGGCGGCAGGTATCACTGCAACTTTGGTCTCTGCGCCATTCGATGTTGTGAAAACGCGAATTCAGATTGCGCGGAAGGCCGGTCAACATAATTTACGTTGGTTAACTATGGCAAAATCTATATTGCATACCGAAGGTATACGAGGCATGTATGTCGGGATTTCGGCAAGATTATGGATTGTGGTGCCATTAGGCAGTTTAAATTTCTGGGTATTTGAAAAAGTTCGCGACTGGAGCGCTGTACCGATTGAATTGCCATCTGTAAATTAGCATTCCGTAGCATCGGAAACTATGTGAAGTTTTTCATTTACCCTATTCAAATATTCATCACCTTAATGAAGCTTGAATTGTGTATTGTTCTGATCATATTCAGGAAATAGAAAATTTTAATGCGAAAATAATGTCTCCCATTTGCATTTGTTCGAGTTATAAAACTTTATTATCGCAACATTAATTAATCAATACAAAAAATTTACATATCCTACCTACATTACATCATAATTACATAAACCGAACTATAGAATAACTCTGTGATTTACTTTGCCTTCCACCAAAATTATAACCGGAAAGTGTGTTCACCTCTTTTAAGAAATCATGAATCTCAAGTTTATTATAATCATCCCCATTATCATTATTATTATTATAATTTCCACCTAAAGCTAACGAATGAGATATCTTTGTTAAGGTTTCGCGATGACTTTGCGAGGTAGAGGGAAGAGCAAAAGGCAAAGTGAGGGGTCGTTCGTTTTGTTTCTTTTGCAAAATTTTATTTGAAAATGTAGGTGAGGTGTCAGAGATTACGTTAAAGTTATTAGCGATA